ACATTTATCAAAATTATAATTTATTTACTTTTTTAGAAAACAGAAATTATAATTTATTTATTTGTGGTAAAAGATTTCATGAAAGTAATGTTTTTGAAAAGATAACTTCAAATTTTATTTAATTATTTTACTTATTTTTAGAAGATATATGTACGTGCCACCAAATTTTACTGACTAAAGAAAGAGACTAAATAATAAAAATAAAAATTGAGGGAGAAACCAAATCTGTTATAAAAATAAAAAGTTGTTTGGAGGACCAAATCTATTATAAAAATAAGAGTAGATTGAGAGATCAAAACCAAGTCGAGGGAGAGGAGGGCTAATGAACCAAATTGCCCCTCACCAATAATCAATCTTTTATTCAAATAAGTGACATAAACGTGTTTATTCATGAAACCTTTCAATGAATAATTATTTATTCATAAAATACAAGTCATTGTAACACGTATATGATAATCATTAAGAGATGGATGGTGGGTTGTGTGGGACACAATTTTTGGCGCATCTTAGCAAAGGGTTACTCATGTTGATTGTAGTATAAAGAGTTGTTTGGCAGTTGCTGAATGATTTGATGCTGAATGATTAAGTGGTCAGAATTATTAAGAGGTCTTCATGATATAATGCAAAATGAAATATAATTGTTTGGTAATTGTTTACAATGAAATCAGGACACTTAATGATTAAGGGAGGCTTAGAATACAAAACCATTCAGAGAATTTTAGAACCATTAAGAGACAGACTTTTTTTTTTGCCAAACAAGATTCACCTTTTAATGATTCAGATATTACCTCTTAATAAAACTATTAAAAGATAAACAAACAACATCTAAATCCGAAATCAATTGTAAAAGATAGATGACTCGACTAAATCCAGCCATGGCCTCTTTTAATTGAGTTGACCTCCACTTTCTTCTATGAACCAAGTTTGATTGCCTTTCTTTCTTTTGCAATTCCCAAAATACCCTTTTGCAATTATGGATTTCAGATCTCGTCTTATTATAAAAATATTGAGGATTAAAGATTCGATTGACACGACCATTTGTTAGTTTTGGTTCGACTAGGTAATTGTCGTGCAACTGGTAATGGTTATAAAATACGGCAAGTGGAGCAAACGAGGTCGTTTGAATCAATTATGTTATAAGACTAGATCGGCGGAACAGTAAAATTTGAGGTCGTGAATGCCAATCAAGTATTGGGGGTAGATTCGTGAAAGCGAAAAATGAGCTCATTAACCCCAATTAAGTACCAAGATCCAAGGGTAAATTCATCTAAGGTTAGAATTTAAAGTAGTGTTTTATATATATTTATTTCACGATATAAAACTTATGGACACGTAACGTTTATATTACAATGTGAAACAACATCGTATATTTCACATTGTGAAAAAAAATTAACATGTTTAATTGGTTTTTACGGTTCTCAATTAATTATGCCCTTATACACACAAATGTTTTTATACATAAAAAGCAGTACTTTTCATATTTACAATGGCTAAAATAACTGAATATCTTCTATAACATAAGGTTAAATTAATATGTGGTAGGGCCCACATCACAATTATTTATACAAGTTCATCTCCCCAATTTCTTTAAGCATTTCATCAACTTCTTCTGTCTCTCCCATCAACGCCGACGTTTAAGATGTTGCCAAGAAGTAGAACCATGCCATCAAGAATCCAACATGGAGTTGTAAGTTCAATTCTTATGTATTTGTATTTATATGAAAGAGGTTAACTGAGTTGATACGTGAATTTTGAGTAAAATCACAAGTGACATGTGATACAAACGTCTCATTGAACGGTCGATGGTCGCGTTAACCATTGCATGCGTCCTTCTGTACATGTTGTATAACATTGTAACTTTTCTCTAGAGTCACGTGATTTTATACTTCTAGCACTTCTGTAAGTTGATCAGTTTCTCGCATGATCCTCCCTTCTCTCTCTCTCTCTCTCTCTCTCTCTATATATATATATATATATATATATTTGATCCTATACTTGTATATTGTCCTTTGAATTAGTATTTTATATTCTGTTTGTTTTGGTAGGTTGAAAACAGACAAGATGTTGTGCATTATTTGCAAGTCGAAGCTCAAACTAACGTCAATAACGAGACCCAAACCATCAACAGTGAAGCTAACTATTCTAAGAGCTTCGATGACGATGGTCGTTTAAAGCGTACTGGTAATATCTTATATTAGTCCTTAATTTTAAAACTCACTTTTTTGAATAAGGCTTATTGTGATACTTTTGTGATTTTTAAAGGTACTTTTTGGACGGCATCGTCGCATATTATCACGGCGGTGATCGGGTCTGGAGTCTTGTCGTTGGCATGGGCTGTCGGGCAACTAGGGTGGGTTGCTGGACCGGTCATTATGATCCTATTTGCCTTGGTCATTCTGTACACTTCTAATTTGCTATCGCAGTGTTACAGGTCTGGTGACCTTGTCACTGGACCAAGAAGCTATACCTATATGGAGGCTGTCAAGGCTCATTTAGGTACAAATTGTTATAACATTACAGATAATGCACACAAAATAAGAATTCAGTATCAATCATATCTTATTTTTGTGTTCTTTTTTTGTAGGAGGGCGTAAGGTGCAAATATGTGGCATGATACAATACATCAATTTATTCGGGGTTGCAATTGGTTACACAATCGCAGCCTCAGTCAGCATGATGTAAGCCATTATTTATTTAGCTTCATGACCGTAATCGAACTTTTGAAAAAGTAAGGTAAATTTAAAAAAAAAAATGTATTATAACGTTGTTCACTTTTTACAGGGCGATTAAAAGATCTAACTGTTTTCACAAAAGTCACGGCAAGGATCCGTGTCGCATGTCAAGCAACGGGTACATGATAACATTTGGGATCATCGAAATACTTTTCTCCCAAATCCCTGATTTCGACCAAGTGTGGTGGCTCTCCATCGTTGCTGCTATCATGTCATTCACTTACTCTTTTATCGGCCTAGCCCTCGGGATTGCGAAAACAACAGGTGAATAACGTGTAACCATAACTAATTGTCGTATATGTTTGAAGGGAACAAAAATTTTCTTATCGAGAGTACAAAACTTTAATCATTTGTCTTATCTTGTCCCCACACATAAAGGGGATCCTCAACTTGATAAAAAGTATGGCAAAAAGCATAGATATTTTTGTAGGTATACCAAAAAATATTGATATTAACAATAATATTAATGTCGTAATAACGAGGCTCGGGCCCACATACATCATGCTCAGTTATATATTTACGTTAAAGATTATCGATAAAAACAGTACATAAAGCAAAGTTACTTCAGTTTTCCAAAGAAATAGTTTACAAATTTAAATCTACTTAGGGTAATCTGATTTCTATGAAACTGAGAACGGATTATATATAAGATTCGATATAAAGTAAAACGATAATCTGTAATTAACTCCAAATCAAGAAGATGGATTGCGGATCACAATAAACATCATAATTCTTTCTTTTCGATAGTCAAAATCTAAGTTGTTGACATCATACCAAATTCATTACGCTAAGTATCTATATTTTATCATGTATCATACATCGATGATTTTTACTGTAAAACATACACACATACACACGCTTATATACCAGAAAATTAAATAGAAACCTGCTAAAAGTTAGAAACTGTAAAAACAACTTTCATGTATTGTTTAGTAGGTAAAACCAGGGGTCGGCCTTGGGGTGTGCCGGTCGTGCCGTTTCATAGGACTTCCAGATTAATATAGGAAGTTTATGAGCATTAATTTGACGATATTAATGTCATCTTGATTCTTATTTGAATCTTATTTATACTTACTTTGATTATACTTCTAAGTATAATTTAAACCAAAGGGATTTATTTTGAAATTTAGTGATAAGAAAATCTGATGAATAACTGAACAAAAAGAATATAAGGCCATATTTAGATTTTTCACGGTGCTTCCAAACTGTCAGGGACCGGCCTGGTGTGAAACAACTGAAACCATCCGATGAGTTTGGAATCTAAGCTATGATTCATATTGTTGAACACAGTTTCTTCTTATGTGCAGAGTATGAATGTGTGTTTCATGTATAAACGCATTTTTTTTTCTTTTCACGTGAAAAATATTCATTGATGTTCTATCTATGAAGCAACACTGTATCAACATTGCATGTTTACATGTGTTGTTTCATCTATGAACCAGTGCATAAAAATCAGTTTTTATATGTTTTAACTTTTAGACGATTTTTATTTATATTGCCCTTATATATAGAAGAAGGATCATATGAGAAGTGAGAAAAGAGTCATATCACATGTGATTCTAAAGTGAAGTTACATGTAATGCAACGTGTTTGTATCACGTGTAATTTTACTGTAGGATCATATATGGTTTTAACCCTTCTCGCACTACTTAATAATTGACCATATTTTCGTTTGACCCGTTGCTTCTTCTTATATATATATATATATATATATATATATATATATATATATATATTTCTTTTTTTAAGAAAATAAGGAAATGAAAGGGAGCTTGACCGGGATAAGGATTGGAACACTAACTCATGCCGGAACTGTTACTACCAACCAAAAGTTATGGAGGAGCTTTCAAGCATTAGGAGCTATTGCTTTTGCATATTCCTATTCCATTATTCTTATTGAAATTCAGGTAAAATCAGATTAAATTATACATTACTCATACTTATTAGTATTATACTGATATTTATAACTCTGTATAAAATTCAATATATATATATATATATATATATATATATATATATATATGATTAAAAAAGTATAAAGGATATTTGATAGGTTACAAAATACTTTTGAAATTTTGTAGGATACAATTAAAACGCCTCCTGCAGAATACAAGACGATGAAAAAGGCGACCTATTTAAGCATTTTTGTCACGACGACGTTTTATTTGCTTTGTGGTTGTATGGGTTATGCCGCGTTCGGAGATGAAGCCCCAGGGAATCTTCTAACCGGGTTCGGGTTTTACGACCCGTATTGGTTACTTGACATAGCCAATATCGCCATTGTGGTACATCTTGTTGGCGCTTATCAGGTACCAATTTTTTTGCTCACGTAAAAGTACACGAACAAGTTGTTTTATTGTCATCGCGTACTTGCTTTATCAAACTTCAGGTTTATTGCCAACCATTATTTGCATTCGTCGAGAAATGGAGTGCAAAAAAATGGTCCAAGAACGATTTTGTAATTGCGGAATACGACCTCCCAATTCCTGTGTACGGGGTTTTTCAAGTCAATTTGTTCCGTATCGTGTGGAGGACTATTTTTGTGATCATTACCACGGTTATAGCGATGCTCTTGCCTTTCTTCAACGACGTGGTTGGATTGCTAGGCGCGTTAGGGTTTTGGCCATTGACAGTTTACTTCCCTATTGAAATGTACATGGCTCAAAAGAAGATCAAAAAGTGGTCGAGCCAATGGGTCGGGTTACAGATCCTTAGTTTTGGGTGCCTCTTGGTTTCCATAGCCGCAGCAGTCGGATCAATTGCCGGAGTAGTTCTGGATCTAAAAACTTACAAGCCATTCAAGACTAGTTACTAAGCTGTTTGTATTCCTAGCTACTATCTGGCAGTGATATGTATCTTTGCTCAAATATTATATGCAGATTGCATTGTCCCAACACCATCAGGTTACTGGTAGATCCCAACCTCGTTGTTGGTCAAAGGTTCAAGTCCCACTAAAGATGAGGAATGTGTATAAGTTTTGTCGTATATAATCGAACTTTTTTTTTCTTAACCTAGATATCCAACTTCCTATGCGAGCCGACTAATCCCAAGACGACCACCTGCTTTACGGGTAACTCGGAGTCACTGCATTTGAACATCTGTGGCCACAAGGGAACTTTTATTCCTCATTAGATTTGAACTTGGGACCTTTTTGACCGTTGGAGCTCAAACTCGAATAAGAGTCGACATCATCACTTACCGATTAAGACTCTCCCATCTTTATCATTGCTCTTACCGGGTAAGATTTTTGACCCTTGTTATGTTCATCAGATAAGGAAAATTACCCGGTAAACACTTACCACGTAAAGGTTTAAGTAAACGGCCCCTAAGATGAGTAATATCTGTAAGTATTGTCATATTCCTATGTATTCAAACTTTTATATCATTAACAACATATTAACACATTATTGGATAAATATCAACATAAAGAAACCACCTTGGCCGTTTTACGTTTTCGATTTAGATGATTTTGAGTGTGAGGCTGCCGCTTTTACAAGGGTCGTAGGCTTAATCGCACTCTTTGGGTTTAGCGCCTTTCGTATTTTGAACACAGCCCACGCCGTCCCAACCGCATGCCCCGCCGCACCTAACCCCTCGTTCGTCACTTTTGCCGCATCTTCCCCATGTTTGTGTGAAACAAAGTCCGTTGTCACAGTTGATGTCGTCGACAACACATTTCTCCCCGCCACTTCCACAGCATCACATACCTTGTCTGAGTACAAAAACCCGAAAACAAATATTAGAAATAAGCACGAGAATAATTATACTAAATAGAAAACATTCGTCCCAAGTGAAGTCAACTTTCGACTTCTGAGAATTAGATGAGTCGGGCATCTTATAAGCAACATTTCCATAATAACGCAAATATATGCTGGGAGTTTTAGAGGTTGCTTCGTTATTTTACTATAAGTATTGTAATTCCGTTTTATTATGACTGTCCCCTTTAAAAGAGGACCACGATTACGGAAATAAGAACAAAAAAGGGAGACTCACTGAAACCGTCCAAGGACGCAAGAATTATTTCGCCAGGAAGAAGGTTGAAGAATTTCTTGCCGGGTTTCGAGTTCACAATAGAACCGGTGATGAATCCAGATACCTTCACGACACCAGAAAGAATCCCGGTTGCCACGCCCTCTGACATCTTCGTTAACCTCTTAGCCCTGAAAACAATATTCATATGTTCATCGATCCTGCATCATTCCACCGTGCAAACGATCCTCCCGCCACAAAAAATGAAATATTTGACTCGATGCAAAATACCCTTCAGATATGACAATCCTATAGATTCTTGGGTATCAAAACACTTAACATTACTGATTTTATATTGATGAACAATGGTCAAACCATTCATCTATATCGTATAAAAACAATTTATTAAGCATTACTTATTGTTTATTAATGCATAATCTCTTAAAAGTTAAAATTCAAATCTACAGCTTATAAATATATATATATATATATATATACAACTTCTGCTCCACGATCGAACTCCATTATCTCAACTATAAACATGTTCAAATACAGGATGCTCATACGGCATACCGATTCATGAATTTGAAATTTTCCAATTTAATAAAGAATTACATTAATTTTTAGTTCTCGGTATACAGTGAAATTTTACATCCCAATGCATTGCACCGGTACACAGCTAGTCCATAAAAGCATAACTAAAATGCACCATCGTTGCTACTCATAACAAAAACGTCTTTAAGCTACACTAGTTGACGATTTCACACAACAGGTATCTTCGTGGAAATATCCGCTCTACTTTTTGGGGCGGGGGACATTTCTGCAAAAATACCACTCCAAGACCCTACTTATATATTGCTCTACTCTTTGGGGCAGAAGACGGATCTGCATATATACTTTCGAGTGGGATACAAACGGGTAGTTGACCTTAAGGCTCCTTGACCTTTTTTTTTCTTTTGATTAACCTGGATATCCAACCCACTATGCGAGCCGACTAATCCCAGGGCGTCCACCTACTTTGCAGATTGCCCAAAGTAACCGCATTTGAACCTCCGTGGCCACAAGAGGATTTTTATTCCTCCTTGGATTTAAACCAGGGACCTCCTGCTACTTTTGACCTTTGGAGCCGAGCTCAAACAATCAGGCACCACCCTTGTGGTTAAGGCTCCTTGACTTGAAAGGGTTTGTAGCTTTTTCATGAACGTACTTATGAACATATATGATAGAAGAGTAATCTTGATCACTCCATCATCAAAACCACAGTTACAGTTCAAGATTAAGCTACTTGCGGTATCCCCAATGGGGGTGGTGTCAAAAGTTTAATGCTAGAAGTGAAGTAATCCTGAGTTTTACTAGAGATTCTGATTATCCCACAAGCTTAGAATCAAAAACTTTCTATTTTCAGCATTCCTAATATCCATAAATTCATGAGATTTCTATCAAAATTCAAGCTGAATATTAATCTGAATCTGAGTTTGTGATCATGAATATATGGTATTTGTGATCTAGTTGAATGCAGGCCAATTTTTGCTAAGAATTTTGAACAAATCAATGGACTGACAAATATAGAAGAAAAACAAGATGATACCTCTTCATTCTCTTCAGAGCTTCTGGACTAACTTCAGATTTTGAACCAGATTTCGTCCTCTTCTTCAAGAACTCGTTTCCCCATTTCAGTCGATCCACGGTCACATCTCCACACCACAAAATCCCCTTGATTAACTGACCAGATCCGCTAGCAATCATCCTTGCAACAGATCCACTATAATCTTCCACATTTGGAGCCAATGTCGTCCAATACGCAGCGGCTTTAGCCTCCGTAGATCCACCGTTCTCCACCGCTACCGCCACACTCCTCTCCACCTCCTTCACCGAAAACGCACTGTACTCCTCCAAAATCAGATCGAATTCCTGCAAAACCTTCTCCAGACCTTTCCCCGTAACCGTCAACCCGTAATTTAACAAATTATCCGATTCAGAATCCGATTTTATATCGGAAGGGACGCGAAGGGTGAAGAAGTAATGTGACGTATCTAATTTCACGGCGGCCTCGTCTTTGGCCAATGGCCATTGGATTGCGTCACCGACACGTGCAAGGACGGCGACAACGCTGTTGCCTTGCCGGAGACGGATTATTTCTAATACCCCAGAAGCGAGCTCGATGCTCTGTTGCTTGTCGATTAAGTGAATGATTGAACCTGGGATTTTAACAACAACTTCCTCTGATGATTCGAACGGTGTCAAAAGGTTTGGATCATAACAAGACTGATGAGTGTCGATGACCACATCTTCGTCAAGAGATGGGTATAGTGATGGAGCTGAATGATGCTGAGTGTGGATGAATAGATTTTCATCAAGATCTTTGAAATCAAGAGATGGGTACAGAGGAGGAGCTGAAGGAGAAGAAGAAGATGATGATGAAAATGGTGAGGATGAATCTGGGTTGGATTGAAGGACTTGGGGATAAAGATTGCTAGGGTTTTGAAGGTCTTGTGATGCCATAGTTGATTTGATGAGATTGATTATGAGGTGGGTATCGGATTTATGAAGGGAAGAAAGTGAAATAGCGTAGACAACGAGCAGAAGTGCGTGGCCGAAGAATCCATCAAAATCAAAAAAAACTCAGGTTATTTTTGTTTAGTTTTTTATTAGAAAAAATGGTACGTCATGTTGTTTGTTTTATATTTAAATAAATAATAAAATTATATTTTAAAGAAGAAAATTATATATGTTTAAGAATAATTTTAGTAAGCGATCTTTTTAGTTTGAAATAACTAAAAGGGAAGCTGCCAATCTTTTTTCTAAATCCGTTTGAACATATCCCATATAATCCTGTTTGTTTATCGTTCCATTAAAATGCAGTCTCTGAATCATTAAGAGATTAATTTTATTTGACAAAAAAAATGTTTCTTAATGGTTTTTGAATGATTTTGTATCATCAACCTCCTTTAACTATTCAGCGTCCTAATTTCATTATAAATAATTACCAAACAATTATATTTCATTTTGCATTATATCATGAGAGTCACTTTAATTATTCTGACCACTTAATCATTTTGTACCAAACCATTCAACAACTATCAAACACCTAAGATATAAGTTATTCAGACTATTAAACCCTAAGGATAATGAATTAGTTTGGAGGGAGAAAATTCATTTAAAATATTTAAAAAAACCCGATTATTCATAATAAATATTATTCATCAAGAATAATTCATTTATAAATAGTTGATTATAAATAGTTGATTCAACAGTTCAAACGAAGTCGTCCCTAGTTTAACCAAGCAAACGAGAACAAGTAAGGGTGCTCAAAAACCTGACCAACTCAACCCAACCCAACGCAAAATAACTCAACCCGAAGCAACCCGATGTCTAATCGAATTGTAAAATTTTCAAACTGTAGGTATTGGGTTGATATTGGGTTACTATTATTTGAACCCAACCCAACCCAATGAACCCGATATCCTTTTATTTCTTGGATTTAATATGATTGTTGAATTTATATTAATATATACATTAGACAATTACACCATCATGTATGCTCTTCATATACATATCTTTTCAATCTATTCATATCTCTATATAACTCATTCGTATATATGTTCAGTAACTGTAAACATATATAAGTAAATCGAGAAAATTAACTGGATGTGATATATGTAAGAAATATGGATAAGTTGTATCAAATAGTTGATGATGAAAAAGAAATTATGACTAGAAAAATAACATATTCAAGGTTAGAAGAATATTCTAATGTACCAAAATATCAACTCAACCAACCCGTACGGTTTGGTTTGGATTGGATTAAGATATTTCAAACCGCAAGCATTAGGTTGGGTTATTCAAATGTCTTTAACTCAATCAATCCAACCCATAAGCACCCCTAAGAAAACAAGCATACTTGAACAAGTTTTTGTATGAAATGATATCATGATTACATCCATACAACAACACCACTACACTTAGTACTTCAATCCTCAAACCAAAATGAGAAAATGTGGTTGTGGGTGGAGGCACCTTATGATGCTGGTTATTCAACAGACAAAAAGAATTTGTGTTGTACAAAAAACAATAACATCAATCATACAAGAAGTGGAGAAGTTCTAGCATTTAGATTATGATGATTCCTACTAATCGGTAGATGGACATATATCTCATGAACATCCGGTTTACATACCTCTCCTTTGTCTCTGTCTATCGCGTAGCATATGTAAACCGTATCTATCACATTCTCCAGCACATGTACAAGCAACCCAAGAACGATTAGCACCACTACAAATGCCATCGCAGCTACAATATACGAATCTGCCCCTAGATCACTTCCATACTTTAGTATCACACAGACCTGCATACATACCCCGTCACTACAACCATAAAAAACACTCTGGGTTGTTTCAAGATTATCCCCTAATCTTAAAGGTCAACAAGAATGTATGCTAAGAAAATACCCTTAATAACTAAGACAAAATAGAACAACTTGTGCGCCTTACTCCATTTATTTGTTATGATGTTTGGCAAGCAACCATCCCAGAAAAGGAAGGTTGTAGTTTTCAGGGTTCATTTGGTATGCAGATGGGACTAGACAGGCGAGAGTAAGGTAAGCGAGTGAAAGAACTCTACAAGGTTTACGATTTTAATTTGATATGGAGTAGTTTAGTAATTTACCAATCTTGTCCATCTCCCTAATTTTTGTTCCATCTATTTTGGTGGGACAGAAAAAATGTATTTTTGTCCCAGTCTGATGTCGCACCCAAAATTTTTGTTAACGCACCCTCGTGGGAGAGAGGGAATAGCATGGCTTTAAAGGTTAGCAATGTTGTGGACCTTCTAGAGACTAGTGCATAAAGTGATATAAACTCACCACGATCGCATATATTGCTGATAGAACAAAGGTGATTCCAGCCAACAGACGAGTGGATACTGTCTCCACAACAACAGCCGAGAGAAGATTACGTCTTAGAAGTTCATATGTCAACTTGGCAGAGGCACAGTATGCTTCACCAGTTATGGCTGCAAAATTTATGGTGAATTTGTTCAGAAAGTCAAATGCCGATAGTAGTGCATTGACACAGCATCGGAGGATGAGGTTGACCATCCCACTGGCATCTTCATTTGCAGCACTATCAACAGCAGCACGTACCATTCGTACAACAGAAATCAACAGTCCAGAAAAACATACTGTTCCAAAGGAGGGACCAAATGCATTTCTGAACAAGTATATAATTAGACAGTAATGTTATCATCTTGACAGAAACCCATGATCAAGTTGTAAGGATTAAAGTTTATAAATAAGTTGAAGATTAAGCAGCAAGACAAAACATTCTGTTGAATGGAGTTCAGAATGTGTTAACAACGAATAAATAATTCAGTTGGATGAGATATTGTGCAAACATCATTAGGAAGTTGTATTGCAAGTAGGAAAATAATGCATAAATTGAATTTGTTCGTCAATCAGACCCATCCTTTCTAAATTTCACAGGTTTTTATACGGACCTGTGCACACTATTTCCATATAGACCTGTTGTATAACTTAAATCTCGATTTACACAAATACTACAACTTCTTTCGGTTTCTTTCTTTTTAAGTTCTGAGACATCAGTAGCACTGATCTCGCCCAAAGCAGATCCTTTTTTCTGTTTCCATTTTGCTGTTTCCATAAGCTCTGATCAGGATCTGCTTTCATCAAGATGTGCATTAGTCACTCAAAGATGGAATACCTACGGTGAACCTTTTACACGATGAAGTGTCACAACGAGGGGTTGAAATCAACATTGGGGAACAAAGGATACCCCAGATGGACAATTTCAGGTATTTAGGCTCCATGATTCAAAGGGAGGGAGATGTCAGGGATGATGCTACACACCACATAAAGGCAGGGTGGTCTAAGCGGAGGGCTGCAGTAGGAAGGCTATTTGACAAGGTACTGACGTACTGTTATAGCCTGAAAAGCAAATTCTACAGAGTGGCTATCATACCAGCCTTATTGGTTGGGTCTAAGTGTTGACCAATAAAGAGTTGGAACTATACTGAAATCAACATGCGGTCAAGCCATGTGGGACAGAACACCAAACCGAGTTTTCATGGCAGAGGCCCAGAGCAAGGAGTTGCACCTGAGAGATGGAAGATCACGATGATTTGGTCATGTTAAGAGGAGACAGGTGATAATGTTAGTGATGAGGGTGCACAACAAAACGGTTGAGGGGGTGAGGAAGGAGGTCAGAACGATGCGGACGTGGGGTGAGCAGCTAAGGCTAGACGATTGGGTTTAGATCTTAACGAGGACATGACTTCTGATAGGACTCTTGGACACGTAAGATTAGGATAAGAAATTTATGTTGGGACTCATTGGTACCATAGGAAAGGGGGGTAGAAAGCCGACAGATAGGATAGCAATGCCCTAGCGGCTTAAGAATGAGAGGATCTGGCTCTAATACTTCTTTTTAAGTGGCATGGCGTTTTCATAGTTTACCCTTGGCCTTGCTTACTCTGGCTGGTTTTAATCATTTTGATCATATAGGCCCTTACAACTGTTACGATTGACTAGTGTGGTCATATTTACAGTTTTAGTTCTTTTTGTTTGTACGCACACTCTCTTGCTCTCTTATTCTTTTTCTTATATTATGGGCTCCAGTTTCTTTTCTAAGTCCGCAAAACCCACAAAAAATTTACAACTTCCTGGTTCAGCTCTTATCTCCCCAAGCCTCTCTACCCCCTTGGGATAGAGGAAAGATCTACATTCATCCTAGCCTCGACCCTACTTCCCAATGGGATATATTGGTTCATTTGGTTCAGTTTGCTAATCTTAGCTACAACAGTAGATGCAGGTAAATTATTTTTGTGTGCTATAACATTTCTAAAAGGGTACACACATATAAAAGGACAAACCCTTCTTCAGTAATGAGGTATATCCCGTCCATCAATGGGGGTATGTGTGCATGTAATTTCAAAATAAATCCATTAAACATTCTGCAAATGATGGAATTAGAGTTTATAATTCACTACTATGTAAGATATACATATATACAAGAAAATTAAATAGGTGTAAATTGTAATCAAGCTGGTCAATTTCACCTTCAAGTTCTAACACTGGACAAGTCATTTGCAATATCATAGCCACCAGCGAAACCAAGGCTGACCAACAGAAAAGATCGATGGTTGTAACAGATGATTCCCAATTATGGACATACATATATATAACCTTTCCAATTACCAATCTATGATTGACAAGAGACTTGCACATGGTTCTACCATTCAACAAACAATATACCTTCTTTTCTTTTTTTCCTCGAGACAAAAGTCAACAACACAACCCACACCATCACCGGCTATGACCAAATCCCTTTCGATCATCCATGATTCAGTTAAGATCAATAACCCCCACGGGTTTATCTTAAGCAATTTAAATTTGATCTACTTGATGTCGTAGCCCTCAGGTCCTAACATTTTAATCAAACCCATATCATATCATATGTCCTTTTGATCTCCAAATGATGAAGAAATGAGTGAATATGCAACACAATTCTAAATTCTAAAATAAAAAGATCCCTTTCAGGCATGCTAAAATCATAATAAACCCATGGAGGAGGGAGTAGAGACCAATAATGGCAGCTTGTATGTCATTGGAACACCATGCTTATGATACCCTTCCTTGTATCTTTAAAGTTTACATACCCACTGTTTGATCTTAAAGAATCTATCTACTACATATATCTCGATTGGCTCTCAGAAAATACCAAAGATTGTCATTAACCTTCAGAACCCACACTCGAGAAAAAAGACAGAAAGTTAAAAAGAGAAAAAGTAAGTTCCCAAAAGAAACCAGTTTTTGTTCAGATGTCACACACCTCATTTCATATCAAGATTAACAGCTAATAATGACATCCAATAACTAAGAAAAGTTACTCAATTGACAAAGGAATACCTCAAAGAACTTCGTATGCTCCGTTTGACCTTTGAATCCTCTTTCAAGAAGTACCACTGAGCAATGGTCCCACTGATTACATACGCCTGTGCTTCCACCATTGCAGCAGCAGACCACAACATTGTAAGAATCGCCAAAGCATAGTAAGCTGGAACCCAACTATCTTGTTTCCACTCACAAAAAACTATTCCATGATTTTCTCTAGGCACCATTTCCCCATTCAATCTCGCAAACACCATGAACACCACGATTGGCGCATAATAAACAAGCAAGCCCAAAATCAAACCGGGAAGCACCACGAATAACCCCAAGTTGTTAGACAACGCATCCGAAGCTACCCTAATTATCCTCACAGTCAACTCAACCCTACTCCAATTCACCACAAGTATCCACACAATCACCCCAATTACCAAAAGCACAAACACCAGCACTATGATCCTGTAACCCAAAGGGAACTTTTCGCTACAAGTTGAACTAATAGTACAGGCAACAAACCAATACAAGTTCAAGAAGATTGGAACTATCACAAAAAAGGGTAGTGAAATGTATACCAACTGTTTGGCGAAATGCTTGAGTGAAAAGAGTACAAACAAAGAAATGGGTATGCTTAAAATCAAAGTAACTACAAGTGTCCAGATCAAATTCTTCAAAATATAATGAGAATTAGATCCTAATAAATTGAGAAACAAAACCCTCTCCCCGAAAATGGAGCTTCTACGGCCTTTGACGCAAGAATCGGAACTGATATCATAGACAAAAGCAGAGGCGGAGGAAGGGGGGTTAGGGTTTTTATTGATTGAAGCAAAGATACCAAAGGCAAAAGCGGAGAGGACGAGAAGGAGGAAAAAGAGAAGGAAAGGGATGTCTTTGATGGGCCGGGGTGAGTGGTAATTATAAGTGATGTTCGCGGGATAGTGAGATGAAGACGATGGGTCCGATTCAGATGGTGGAGGAGTGTGGTGGTGATGATGGAATTCATCGATGTAGGTAGAGAGTAGAGGTTTAGATGGAGGGTCGTAAACGTCGGAGGACTTACCGGCTACGGTGGTGTCACCGGAGCTAGCCATGGCATCAACTTATTCAAGAGTTTTATATGGATTAGAAGCTGTGGTGAAGTAGCAGTAGTCAATCTTGATGGACTGAATTCATTGAAAACAGAGTGTGAAAGGAATCTTTAAGAAATTGATGTGGTTGATTAGGGTTTGTGAGGAAGGAGAAGGATATGCTTTGCATGTTAAGCACATGGATCACATGGAAAAGCGGCACGATTGGATCTTGCTTAAATACTTGGTTCCTCTCGAGATGAAAGCCTGGTTGCTCTCACTCAATCAATATCTCATAATAAATAATTTAGAGTAAATTGCACTTTTGGTCCTTGTAGTTGTCATATATTATCATTTTTCATTCTTATTTCAAATTAATTACATTTTTGGTCACAGATTGGAACAAAGAAGATGGAGGGGTTTTGGTAGTCACGTTGGTTTAGGTTTTGGGTAGGGATGGTAATGGGGCGGGGATTGGGGGGGAACCCCAATACCCGTCCCCGTCCCCGATCCCCCGTATGTGTCCCCGTCCCAGTCCCCGTCGGGGATTATGATCACATCCCCATCCCCGTCCCCAACGGGGAACGGGGATCCCCAACGGGGAAACGGGGATTTTTTTTTAAAACCCAAAAATTAATGAAAGATACTCAATGTATGTATACCTAATTTGGGTCCACATTAGTTAATAGTTCACAAATCAAGAAGGCAAGTAGGCAAATAGGTAAGGTAAACCAATAATATAACAAGATTACAAAAAGTGAAGATGAAGAATATTGAATCCGTAACACACCAGGGAGAGGCCGAGAAGGAGAGCCGAAGAGGGAGTAGGGTACTAGGGTTGTCGCCGTGGGTTGTCGCCGTTGGACGGTCACCATCGCCGTCGCCGATTACGTGGTCGGAGAGAGCAGGAGCAGCAGCGCCGTGGAGGAGCAAGTCTTCGTGGAAAGAGCAGCAGCGCCGTTGAGGTCCTGGAGGAGAAAGTCTTCTTGGAAAGAGAGAGCATAGAATCAGGAGATTAGATCATTAGCCGATTAGGATTTAGGAAGTGTGGAGCGTGGACTAGGCTGGAGGATGGACTAAAGACTTAAGGAGGATGCATTCATTCATATTTTACAGCCCAAAGCCCAAATTCTTATAAAACATATATATATATATATATATATATATATAACGGATACGGGGCGGGGCGGGGAGTGCTATACCCGTCCCCGACCCCATCCCCGGATTGCGCCAAGCGGGGATCCCCGTCCCCGTCCCCGGGACCCGATTTTTCGGGGAATCCCCGTCCCCGATCGGGGCGGGTGGACCGGGTTACCCGACAGGTCGGGGTCCATTACCATCCCTAGTTTTGGGTTCTTTGGTTTGTAATTTTTGATGGGTTTTTTTTTGGTTTGTTAGGTTTGTCAGAGAAAATGACTGAAGGAGGAGAGGTTGTTTAAGAAGATGGCCCGTGGTCGGAAGGGGAGGAGTGACCGAAGATGTGTAAGGACTCACGAGGGTGGGTTGGGCGGGCTCGTTGGAGCTGGAGGTATAAAAAAGAAAAGATGTTAATAGAATAGGAAAAGACAAATAGAGTATAAAGACCTAAATACCCTCTTATTTAACGTTGAAAATTAGTTTAAGAGACCAAATATGCAATAAAATGGCAACTACAATGATCAAATCTAAAACAAAATGACAACTATAGGGACTGAGAACCAAAAATATAATTTACTCAAATAATTATCTATATTATTTTATACTAGAAAGGTACTCGCACAATACAGAAAGATACATCTCGATGTTAATGTTTTCGTTTTTTTTTTGGTCTCAGTCGATGTTATAATACGGTTTTATATGCTTTTGAAAAAACGATAATTTTTTATTTTTAAATAAATTCATAATAATAAAAAAAATATTGATATTAGTAACAAACTAACTATTTAAAATTTCTCTCTTTTCTATGTATTTCTTTAATTCATTTTTTATTTAATAATATAATTTTTTATAAAAATAATATTTTGTTAGAACTCTTATATTTTTTATAGTTAACATGATATGTTTATCTTCTATTTGATTATGTTTATCAGCAGTTAGTTACACGAATTTAAACAGAAAACTTTAATAGATTGTACTTTCACACAATTACTTGTAATCTTGAATTTCAAGTAATATACATCAATAAATAGTACTTTATGTATAAAAAACTAGAAGCGTACTCGCACAATGCAGCGAGATACATCATGATTTTAATATTTCATTTTATTCCTTATTTCAGTCGATGTTATAATATGACTTTATGTGATT